GTGGTCATGACTTACTAATGAGTTCATGTGGAAGTGATCTCAGCAAAAATATGTTGCTGTTTAAATGCTGCAAAGTACCTTGGTATTCTGAGCTGAGGCCTGCAAACTGTTTATATATAAATCTGTCATATGTGAAAATGTCCTAGTAGTTATTTTGTGCTTATTTCAGTATTTGAAACGTTGACATTTTACTGTTAGCTGGTCCAAGGTGCAGTGATATTTTAAGCGTGCTGTTAGAATGTGGGTGAGTAGAAGGAGAGTAAGTATCAGTGCATGTTTTTAGAGGCATCTGGAGAGGTATTATCGGTATATAATCATCCTGTCCCTTCAACACTGCGTGGTTTGCGTCTCAAATTCTGTGCAGCAGAGCACCTGAAAAAGAGGTGGAAGAGAGCTTAAGCCTTAAGTAGTGGCTCAAAATTCTTTCTTGTTTACTGAGGATAAGATAGGTTAAAGTTAAGATACAATATCTGTGTAAGATACCTGTAAATATTTCTGGGACTATGTATAGTTAGGAAACGCACAATTCTCTCCAATCAAACACTGATATTGGCAGAAAGGCTGGGGAATTGATAACTGCTCCTTGGAACTTGGCTATACACATCCAAGAATGAAGCGGGTGACATGTTTACAAAAATATATAATCTGACATTGAAGTAGGCTACAGTATTACTCACTTTTAAGTATATGTACTGTTTACCACTTGGCATGAGCGAAGCATCCCGTAAGCTAAAAGAATAGTGATAATACCTATTCATTACAGGGCTGAATTCTGCAGATCTATTCAAATGCAGGTGAATGTTATCCACACTGATGCATAAGGGCTGTTGATGAGAACTGAGAGATTTTATGACTGATATCTTCATGCCCTTTACTTGCAAATAATTCAACCTTTCTGCTTGCTTCCTGATCTGAGAAAGTGTACAGTCATTAGCATCATTAAATACTGATTGTGATTTGGGTATGCGATATTCCCTGGAATATCGTGGTACAAGTCGGATGCGCGTTCCTGCCTTGCGTAAAGGGGTGGTAAGGAGCAGGTTTCTGAACATTTTATCCAGGTACAGGATACTTAATGAAAATATTGTTATACTTAGACATAAGCCTTGCTACCAGCTGCAATATTGCTTGCCTTTACCTCCCCTTTTATTGCTTGCTTTTTCTTCAGCAACTGTGTAATTGTTCAGTTTTTCTCCATGCAGCTGCCTTTTCAAACCTAGCAGGCGGGGCTTTTCTCTGGAATGATGGAGTTTGACATATTTTCTACTAATAAAATAGGGATGTGGCTAAGTGGTGCTTATTTGGTGTGTTTGTCTTGTGGTTCTGAGCCACATGTCGTTTTTTAAGGCGTGAAATGTGGAAAGACTGTTTAGATTGGAGCTGCCAGGATGTTTGAGGGCTTGCAGCAGGCTGGGGGTTTTTTTGGTTGGGTTTGGGGTTTTTTTTGTAGTTTGAGATCTTGTTGCTAGGGCATTGTTGAGTCATTTTACTGATGTATCTGGATCAGTTTATATCCTTTTTGTGCTGTGAAATTTAATTCCGTCCGTCATTTTTCTTTGCATTTTGTTTCCTGGGCAACCACCTGACTTCTGGAGCCTGTGCTCTTCTGCTTTTAATCCCTGCACTGTTGCTAAAATGATCAATACATCAATAAATATTGATCCGGAAGTACTGCCATTAAGTTTTAAAGCTGATCCCAAACTAATTAATAGGAATAGAAACCTGAGTTATTGCTTCAGACCGCAGCTATCCCTACAGTAATTATAACCTTTCCAAAGCAAGTATATTGCTATTGCAAGGTGCGCTAGACCTTTTTTGGGTATTTTGAATATTGTCCTGAAGTGCTAAATAGTTATTTTGGAAAAAAGAATTTCTCTGAGAATAGATTATTTTATATTGTTTGTGGAGTGAATGACCAGCATCTTTAAAACAACACGAACTGATGCTGCCGTGTTCACGTCCATGCCAATCGGTTTTATTTCAGTTTGACTGCACAGTTGCCAAGCAACAAGTGCACGACTCCCACATTTGCCTGCCTACTCGCTGTGCCGCTATCAACTCATTTGTATTCCAGAAAAATACAAGGAAACCTAAATTTCAGCCTGCTTTATTGAAAGCAGTCGGACTAAGAAGCCCTCTTGCCCGCACCTACCACAGGCAAGGTTTGGGCAGAGAGCGTAGCCCTACAGCTTGGGAGCGCCATCTTGTTTCATACCCATCTGCAGTTTTTTGTATCCTAGCTTCCCCATCCTGTGCATGTGTTTGGAAAACCCCACAACCCCAGTTCCACTTCCAGGCTTCTGTCAGCGTGGTTAAGACGTTGAAGTCTGGGTGGCAAGTCATTCAGTATGGGACTTTCGATTTGCCCCAAACAGCTTCGGGAAAAGAGTGGTTTTTTTATAGACTTGCTGTTCACTGAATAGTCTTATTATGAGTGAAATGTTCTCAGAGCATGTCAAGTTGATTCCATGTAGGGGTTTTGCATGCAGTAGAATTTGGCATCCTATATTGAATTGTTCAGCTAAGAGACGTGCAGTATTTAATGTAATTTCCTCAACTCAAGGCGGTTTAGTCATAGCACCTCATTTTGTGATCTCTGTCCTACCTTGCGAGCTAAGCTGCTTTTAACTGTGTGGGATGAAACCATATGAATGAGCTAATTCTAGGAAGCACCTAGTTCTGAACGTAAGTAGGTTGATACTGCCTTATAGTCAGTCAGTACTTAGCAAACGCATTGATTATCCAAAGAGAGCGGCAGGCAGTGGCATTTTTTCAATACTGATCCTGGTTAATGGAGTTTATCAGTTCATGTCAGATTACTTAACCTGGGGAAAATAGATGGAACTCGTGCAAGTAGGCAACTCTTGCAGTCTGCTGGTAGCCGCTTTATTTAATGAGGCAGTTCTGCTGGCTGTCGGAGGCTCCATGGGCATATTGCTTATGGTCTAGCTTGTCTAAACTTTGACTTGGATAACTAGTTCTTGTCTACCTAAAATGTATATGAAATGTCAGCCTTTGGTTTTTGGGAGGAAGGGGTTTTAAGTTTTCTGTCCTATTAAACATGGAGAGTCTTTTTTTGAGAAGAGAGAAAGAGCTGCCTTTTCTAGTGGACAGAGATAGGCCGTAGGTGTTTGCAAGTTCGAAAGGGTGGGAAAGGGAAGGTAGGCCCTATGTTACTATTACCTTATCAGCTTATTAATAAACAATATTAGGGATACATCAGTAGCAAAATAATAGAATTTGATTTAACCATAATTTTCCCCCAGAAGGCATGAAGATTGAGCTAAGTGTCTGTTCGAAATGGGTTTGTATAACAAAATACTATCTATTCCGTGATATTACTATGCTTATTTGAAAAGAAGCACTGCCGCTGATTCAGTTCAATACAAACGTAACTTTATTTTTACTGAAATGCCAATGAAATAACTGTACAAATTCATTGTGTAACATTTACTGTTAGAAATTAAAATACATTTCTGGTTATAGAAATACTGTTCACAATTGGAAAGTTGTGATTTCTCTGATACCAGCGGTTGTAAATGGTCTACAACCCTCATTGACACCTAGGAGAAACAGAGGACACCAGTCTCGGTAGTGAGGTTTTCTGGGTTTTGCAGCACCTTCATGCTACAATAACTGGAAATTAAATGGCCTGAAATGAATGGAAAACACTGTATAAAGATTTGTAGTATTAAGCGAATAATACTTTTTCAATTAACTTGTTCTTCAGTTTTCATTTCATGCTGTTTGCAAAACTTCATCTGTAGTATATCAAGTACCTTTGCCACATTATTGAAATGATTTTCCTAGATTGGACAGAACCATGCGTGCAACTATTTCTACTCACTGATGGTGCAGATATCAAGGAGAATAGCATTCATGCTCATCCTTACAAAGCACAGATTTGGGCATGTTCAATGCCATGGACTGAATTATTTTTTTTAAAGTCCCAAGATTCAAGGATTATTTCAATGACAGCTTGTCAACTAATTGCTTAATTGATTTGTTACATAACTTGTGTTAGAAATTGGCTGATGTTTCATTTTACTGATCAAAAATAGTAGTTTGATACATTCTGGCTGATGCATGATGTTCTTTTAAGCATACTATATTAACATTTCAGATTTTTGGATGTCACTTGAAACAAGGAGTTCCATTTAATTAATTCGTGTAGATAACTCCTTGTTGTTGGAGAGTGTCATGGCATTGAACATCTTGTGTTTTCCTCTACTTTTATCTTTTTTTTTTTTTTAAATATGGAGAGTGAGAAATAACTTGCCTGCAGTCTCTAAGTCAAGACAGAGCAAAAAGATACCAGCCCCTACCACTTTTCCCATGCTGAAGTTGGACCACGTTGCCTTCTCAGTTTACACCCTCTCAGTAGACATCATGGCATTGTCATATTTAATTCCTAAATTCAAAACTGTTGTTCTTCATAGTTAAAATATTCTAATACATATGAAGCAAACATAGATATACATGCTAGCGATTTTTCTCAGGAATAACTTCTGATTAGTGAAACAGCTAGATTTAGTTCCTTTATTTTTTCCCTTCCTTTTGCATGTCATCATAACTTACAAAGAATCTGTGCTGCTATATTACAAGAATTGCTCACTGGCAAGTCAAGCAAGACAATGCAGATATGATACAGGCCTTCTATTTTTTCCAGTTGTTTTATGACAAAATCATACATAAAATCAGTACTTAAAATTCTGATGTTTTATTCTGTGCAAGTAAAATTAAAAATTTAAATACAAAATAAGCACATTTTTAAAAACAAAATCATAGGTTAGTTTTACTCAATTAAGACATATTAAAATAAGTAGCAGCTTAGTATCAAGACATTAGTGTGCACTTCTTAATTAAGAACTGTTATTTTCTTTAGATCAGAGTCAGGACTTCAGATTTCTTGTATTTTGATTCATTATTTGACCTGGATGTCTTAACTGCAGCTATGTATCACAGGAATAAACTCAGTAGTTTTCACAAAATACAAGCCCTTAGCCAATAAACATTGCCACTGCACGAAGCATTACAACATAAACCAAATATATATCACAGATACTTGCTTTGGAGGGCACATGAGTGTTCAAAGTATTTGTAGTAGATTCCTCTTTCCTTAAGGTAGCAGTTGTGCTTTGAGGCATTTTGGAGTAGTTTGTTGGCATTCCACTGGTGATACTTAAAGTCATAGGAGTAGTGGATGATCCTGTTGAACCCGACTGGCTTGAGTTGGCCTCGGTAGGATCTTTGATGTAGATTGTGTGTGTGGCTGCTGCTTCTTGAGAACTAACCTTCCTAGTTGTCAGATCTTCTGGGTAGAGGAGTAGTGGTCGGTCTGTGCTCGTGAACAGTACAGTTTGGCTTAAGGTGGCCAGGGTAGTAACTTCCTTAGCTTTAAATTGTTTATGCATTTTTGTCATTTTGGTCGGTTCCGTTGCCACTGGGGAAGTAGCCTTGTCTGCTGCCTTCATTCCTTTACTCATGAGGCTGGAGTCTATCACCGTGGGAGCCGCTGAAGTTGGTGTGGCATTCATCCAGAGCACAGATTGATTAGCACAGGGAGCCCCTAGAACACTGGCGGCTGTTCCCTGCACCCATTTAAGCAAGTAAGGGATATTTTCTTTATCGCTGCAGGACCACGGGTTGTTATATAGTGTTACTACTTGCAGCTGAAAGAGCTGATCAAAAGCTTTGTCAGGAATGTATGTGAACTTGTTATTGTGCAGGTAGAGGCTTGTAAGGTGTTGTAGCCTCAGCAGTGTTCCTGGAAGTATCTGGGACAAGAAGTTATTGGATAGATCCACCGTCTCTAAGTTGTAGGGCATATTGGTTGGAACTGTCCAAAGTTTGTTGCTACTGAGATTGAGAAATTTGAGACTGCTCAGGGTGTTGTTGATCAGAACAGCTCTTTCCACCATGTTCCTGGAAACGTCAAGCACTTTAAGATTCCACTGGTAAGCTGTATCAAGTTTCTGAAGAACTTTAATGTTGTTGTTTATGGCATATAATTCCCATAAGGACTTGGGCAGATGAGCAGGAACATTCTTGAGCCAGTTATTTGAAATATCAAGGGTCCTCAAATTGGTGAATCTTGTTAGCTGATGATCGAGATCTATGAACTGGTTAAAGGACAGATTTAAATATGTAATGTTGTCTTGAAGTCCGTGTGGCAGTATAGTTAAGTTTCTGCCTGAACAGTCCACATTCCTGTCATTTCCTGAGCACGTACAGTTAGAAGGACAGATACCCAAAACAGTGGGTATGAAAAACAGAAGGACCAGCAGACAGGTAGATGTATTCAGTATCTGGTATTCCATTGTTGCCTGAAAATAAATACACCAAAATGACACCCTTTAAATCCATATAATATATTTTATTTCTTTACAAGGGTTGTCTTTGCAATGACCACTTGCAGGAGAAATTAAGTAAAAATATCAATAAACCCCTTTGTGGCACGGTCCTTTTTAGAATTGTTCGAGAGAGACTTTACAAAGCATCCCTTCATAGACTGTCATGTTGTCTGGCAGAATGAGACTTGTTTTTTCATCTCCCTTTCCCCCTCAAGCTCAAATGAGGGCTTTCTTCCGAAAATGCAAGTCTCTTCCAAATGTTATACAATGTCTGCTTCTTGTTTTTAGTGATTTCAAGCCTATATTATGTTTGGAATAATGTGTTCTTTGATACAGGATGAAAAAATGGCTGTCAATTGGATCTGCTTTACAAATCTCTGCAGTAATGTAGCAGTCCCCCCCATACATGCATGCTATTTGCTTAAGTAGAAATGGTTGAAATACATCTTAAATTGTTACGAATTTAGTTTGAAACCCAAATTCCATGTTCATGCTAACATGCACGGTGTTATTTTTCCTTATTATAGTGTTAATTACATTCTCAAAGCTGGTAACACATGTTTGAAAGCTGAATTAATGTTAGGAAGAAATCTCTGACACTGCAGCAAATTTCTGGTGCAAGCATCTGTCATCAACTAATATTTTCGCTCTTATTTCTGTCTCTAATTTTGTAGTAGGTTTTTGTGATGAAAAACAAAAAACACAAACTTACCGTAATCTCTTCTGCAGTATCAGCACATCATTTCTGTGAAAGATGTAAGCTTAGAGGTCGTCTTGTTCTAGAGAGTAGCTACAGTTGCCGTCTGTGGATTGTGCTTGCCTCTTCAGCTGCATCGTATTGCTGCTAGCTGGGGCTCTGCAACCACCTGATCTGCACTACATTGGAGGACTGCAGAGCTGTCGTTGGTGCTGACTCAAATTCATTGCAAAGCCAGCATATTAAATAAAATAGTTGGGGTTTGTAATTTGAATCAGCTAACTTCTCCATATCTATTACGCTATGTTAATGCATCCACATAGCACATAAGGTTGCCTACATAAACAGTACCGAATGCTATTTCTGTAGGCTATTTTAGCTTAAGCTCTGATTCCATTTAAATGTTCCTATTTAAAAAGTCATGTTAACTTGTGTTCTTTTTTACCTTCGATTAATCTCTCCTCCTGTAATCAAGGTTAATGTTAATTTAGGCTTCCTATCTTAAGCTTTTTTAAGCTGCCAGAATCTCTCTTCATAATTTTAAAATGTTCAGTTTACTCCTCAGATCAGGCTATCGCTGTATTGTCAGGTATAATATAGCTTGGCTTATAGGATTTTACAGATTTCTGTAGGAAACTTTTATGTGAATTTCTCCAAACAATATGGTAAGAATGGATATCGTTTATAATGCTGTTAATTTTAACATGGTGTAATGCAACAAGCTTTTAAAAAAAAAAAAATTCTTTGCATAATTGGAATGCTTTTCTTTAGACATATATAATCATACAGCTTATATAAATGGGAAGAATAAATTGTAAATATCTTTTCCTATGTCCATTGTATGCACAGAGCCTAGAATTTCATTTGCATAACTTACAACTTTAATTTTTAGTGGTAATTTAAAGATTTTGAAGTTTATTGTTACAATATGTGCAAACATGCTCTGTGCAACATCCTCAAATACATTCCTTCCCCAAGCAAACTCAAAACTACAAACTCTCTGCTATTTTGCAGAGAGGTCATGGAAGGCTAGCTTCAGCATATAGTACCTTCTTTCTATACATCTAAACATTCAATATTAGTGGAAAAAAAAAAAAAGTACCTCCGAGACCACCCTCCTGCTTCCCACCAAAAAGTTAGCTTACCAAAATGCACAGTTCTAGACAGGACGGTGAGCTTCGCTTGTACTCGGGACTCAGGAGTATGTCAAACACTTAGCCACCTTGGGTTAAAAGGAATCTGGCATCCACACAACATTAATTTTTAAAGTTTTTTATTATTATTATTATTAAGTGCATTCTGAAAATACTGCTTCAGAGGAAGAGATAGGTGAATGCACACACCTAATTCTGGTAGTCCTTTGCCTGGGTGTTCTGCAAACTGTTTCTATCTTATCCATAAAAATCAAAAGTATTTAGATAAAAGAAAGCCTTTTTGTACTTGTTCTTCATGTGTTTGGAGCCATTTCAGCTTTTTGGTGACCACTGTATTAACTGTTTACTCGCACAGTTCTCTGCTTTACCAAACAATAGCCAGAAGTGACTGGAGGTTTTACACCAATAAACTTTTTGGCAGTGTTTGATCTAAAGGAAATGTCATTACTATTAGTGAAGAACAACGGATGGCTGTTAGGAGGATTTGTTTCAGATACCTGTAATCTGTTGTCACCAGTCTTTGCAGAAATCGGGCCTCTGTATGACAGACCACACTTACGCGTGTCGAGGCATTTAGACCTTGTTTTGTATTCGAAGCTTCGTATCTAAGCAAATACTCAGTTATGCTGTAAGTAACCAAAACATCTTGGAATTAGAAAGCTTTATTAAAATTAACTTGAATTCATTGCATTCACTTACACAGCCTAGTAGAACAAATAATTTTTAGAAACTCAAAGTACCTCTAAAGCTGTACTGTTTCTTGAAAGCTCCAAGTCTCTGTGTGCGTTACATACATGTCTATCCTGACACACAAAGGCATGCATACTCTGTTTTCTGTAGTCTCCATAATCTGGAATCACTAGTTATGGATGAATAGTGGGCACAATCCATGTTGTGTTTTGAAATGATTTGCTTCAGGCAGAAGCAGCTTGTTCTGTTTTGTGAAAGCTGAAGTTAAGAAACAAAGGGGAAATGCCCGTGCTGTGGTCTCACTGTTTTTGCCTGCATCAACTTCTCCTTTTTTTTAGTTGTTTGAAGAATACTTCATTTAAGAAAAATGTGAAGTATGCTGGAAATCAATTTTGGCAGTCTACAGAGGGTGTTCTGGCTGCAGCAGGTGGGGCAGTGGTTCGTGAACCTCTTGGATAAGTAACTTGGGCGGTGGGGGAAATTGTTCCTCTGTTCCTGAGGGAAATTCCTGGCACTTGCCGAGACCTGAACTGTGATCCTCTGTTGGTTCCCTGAGCCAGTCAGGTGGAGGTGGCAGATCTGGCGATTCGGGGGAGGCCGCTGGGTGAGGACAGCTTGCTGCCTCTGAGGTGGGAGCTGGAGGTGCAGCGCTGTTGGGAAGTGAAACGCTGGCTGCAGGGCTGTCTTCTGCTGGCGGAGGCAGCTGGCTGTTTGCATTACTGGTGGTGCAGCTGGATGGTTTCTCTGATGCAGCGGGGTTGTGTGGTAAGCTTGTGTCTTGTTGCAATTTCCAAGGCAACATAAATAAAACTGATGAACGTTTGGTAGCCTGGTCAGAGTCCATAAAGACATCTGGGGTGTCTCCATCGGAAAATGGAGAACGACCTGCCCAGTTTGAATCAACTAAAACTGGCCTCCTGCAGCATTTCCACAGAAGAATTATAATAATAGCCATTATCATACCAATCAAAATGATGCCAATTATCAGTGCTGCTATCCAGCTTCCATTGCTAGGTTCTGCATGTGCTTTGGGGAACCAAGGTGGTGTCGTAACAGTCAGTGCTGGTCCAGATTTGTGCAAACTGAGTCCAGTTGCTTGCAGTTGATACAGAGGAGCTTTGTCTTCCCTTGGACTCCTGATACTGGTGTATGCATTTCTTTTATTCATGGAAGTGTCTTGGGGTATTGCTGTAGAAAGTGATTTCCAGATTTCTCCACAGAAGAGAAACAGTATTACTTGCTTGCTGGCCATTTTCCTGCAGCCTCTTTAAATAGGTCTTCTCCTATAGCAGAAAGGAAAGAGAACACCTTAACTTGAAAACTGCGTTTGTCTGGTCTCAGTAAAGTGTAACTCTGCAACAATTTTATGTTAATACTTTAAAATTTCATGTCTGTTTTTCTTTGCATAATCAGCAGGTTTGTCACTGACTTTACAAACAGGCAGATTTTCAACGTTATTGATCATTGTAATTGAGCGATGTTGTTGAAGAGAATGTCTTTATTACCTTTTTCACTTTATCGGAAAAAGGCATCAGCAGAGAAGTCCTAAGAGTGTTTCAAAATAACAACGTTTATCAATCATATAAATGGTTGTGGACCTGGGACAAAATACGAAACACTCGCAGCAGTATTGACAAACAGGATTGTCACGAGTAAAGAAAATTGTCTTGTTTTGCTGGATATAAGCTGAGTCTTAAGTAAAAGGTTCTTTACTGTTCTCTTAAACTTTGACTTCCTGTTCTTGCCTCTCTTCAGCAATTAAGGGTAGAGCGTTATGATTTTTAAAAAGTTTCCAAATACTGATGCTGTAATGGCATTCTAATATTAAACTTTTTATAAATGAATTTCTGCATGTGGAACACTTTTTGTAATGAAGGAGGTTGTGTTAATGTTAAGTTGTTGGCATGACACAGATTCCCCCTCCGTACTGTTTAAAGTTCAGATCTCTGAGTGTCTCTGTATGAAACAAATCATAAAATACATCCATGATGTAGCCATTTTATATCTGAAGTTACTTCTGTGCAATTGGCGCTAATTTATGTTACTATAATGCTAGTCATGAGAAGGTGTTCCTGGGAAATCAGTATGCATAAATCTTTGTGGGTTTACAAATATGCAATATGCAACAGTGCAAACACCTATGAGTAGTAAATCAATGCTTCTTAAAAACATTATGATCTAAACTTGGTAAGGTAAAAATGATTCAACTTAATTTTCTTCTGCTCCATTCTTTTCAAAATGTAGTCAAATAATACTTGCATGTAGAGGTCGTGATAATTCATAGTAACAACATCAAAGAACATGGGTTTGAAACCCCAATACTTTGTTAATCCAGACATTCAACAAGAGCTTTGAATACACCCCGAAGTCAGGACGTACACAGTGCTGTGCACAGTGCAGTTCCATTTCAGACCAAATAATACGAATATTAAGCCTTTCGAAGTTGATTCTTACCTGCACATTTATCTTCCGTCAAGCAAGCATCGTCTTATTTTTTGTTGGAAGCCTTGGGAAAACAGACTGTGTGCTGAAAGTCAAGCAGCTTAAAATGGCTCATTTCACATTGCAGCAGCTTTCTGCAGCTGAAGAGGAAGTGTACCAACACTTGCTGCAGGAAGTGTCCCCAGTGGGGAGATTACAAAGAGCCTTATCTCAGAGTTTGTCACCTTTACGAACAAACTTTTCAGCTCTGTTGTTTTTATAAAACTCAAATATTTAAATGTGTGTGGCTTTTGTCTGGTATGCGCATATTGTGTAGAAATTCATAAATACTTGTTTGCCTGTCTTTGTTGGAAATAGGTATAGTTATTTCTGTGGAGTCAAAAATTATGCAAGTTTGGATTGGATTTGAATCTTACTGGTTTAATTTCAGTGGTGGGTTTGGTGTGCTGTCATGATTCTTAGTGGGAAAGCAACCTTGGGTTCATTGCAGTGAGTCATGGAAAGCTTTATTATCACAGGATGCTGGCTTGCTTGTGCATCTTCATTTATGTAGTTGCATTAAAAGGCAGATAACTACAGATATCACCTTTCTCCTGCCCCCTACTCTCCATGTTACTCTTCTGTCTGGACAACTTTGGTACCTGCTGCCATCATTAATGAGGGGCTGTGCTCTCTTTCTTTTGTCGTCTTGAGCGTTTTTGCCCAGAAAGGTTGCCTGGCAAAAAGAAACCCACACAAATACGTCCTCGTGGCATTTTGCAAGCGTTTTCTGCCAGTGCCAAGTAGCTACTGCCAGATCCTTCTGCAGCTTCTTCATCTCCTCCTGCTTTTCCTGTTGTGCCTCTCTTCTGATTGCACTAGTTCTCTTTTTCAGACTCTCCCTCTTCCTGCAGCAAACACAAATCCTGATGCTGTACTCACGTTATAACTCGTAGGTTCTTGTCCGATTCCTTCATCTTATCCCCTCATCTCTTCAACCCTCCTAGTTTCCACCTATCTTTTGCCACACTCCCACCTCATTGATAGTTCTTTTTCCTTCCACTGATGTGACTGTGATTCTTTCCTTTTTTGCTTGCTTTTTTCATGGCATTGCTGGTTCACCCCTTTCATCTGCTGCCTACTAACAGCTTCCTGTGCTCCTGCGTGCAGGCTGGCTAGGTCTCTTACAGATTCATTCTCTTGTTGTAGTTCTGTTGCCTTCCTAGCTGTGAGCGGTTTTACATCAGATTAGGTTCCCACATTTGCTATCTCAGATTCTTTTTTTAGTCCTTGCGTAGCCTCTGCTGTTGCCTCATGTTCTCATGGTCATTGTGGGGAAGGAGACGGTGACTGCAATGCAGCATCCCCCAACCCTGCCCTTCAGCTCTCTTTCTGTCACCAGTGTGCGATGTTCTCAGTTCGTCTCCTCGAAGTACTAGGTTGTCATCACCGATCTGTCACAGTTTGCCCTTATTCTTCTGGCCCTTCTCCTCATGTTTTAGAAATGCCTGACTTAGTCCCCTGTCCTCCTGTTCTACTTGTGTGTTGTGCCTCTTCCCTTTGAGCTCTAAGATCTGAATATGTGGTTTATGGCAGATTCATTGGAATTTTCCCTGTAGTTGGGTTGGGTTTTTTTTTCATTTCCATATCCAGTTAACTTATTTTCTAATGACTCCCAGTTCTGGACCAAGCTTGCAAGCTCCTTCCGATTTTTATCTTCCTTACTACACAAACCACCTTTGACACAGGCAGTTGCATTTTTTGGAGATCTTGCTTCCATCATACTGTAGTCTTGCTTCTCTGTTGCTTCTTTACCTGACCTTTCAGCTAAGTGTATGGGTGATGTAATGGAAGGTGAATTGGGGATTCAGTCTTACATTCTGATTCTTTCAAACTTGTACAACCATCTCTTGTGTCAGAAATGTTTATTACAGACGCACAGGATATTTAGAACTTTGTTGCTATGCAGTTTTAGCACTTGTAACCGTGGTGCAACGGATCATCTTTAACCCAAGAAAAACTTTAACCTGAGAAGCCTGCGAAAAACTTCTCATGTTTCCTTAAAATCACAAAGCTCTGCTGTAGTGAGACCAGACACAGACATCTCCCCAGAAATACGAGAAAATCAGGTCTCTCTGAAAATAAAGAAACTAAAAGTTGTGGTGGTTTTGAAGAAATGTTTGGCGTGTTCTAACTGACTGTGTTAGGATGAAGTGGAGTGTGTTTCCATGATGCAAGAAATCCCAGCTAGTCATCAGAGAAGACCTTTTCTGACCTTCAGCAAATGTTATAGGAATATAATAGTCCAAAATGCCTTGTGTAATATTTTTGTAATATTTTGACTTGGAGAAACAGTATCACATAAGTTATTTAAAAACTGATGTTGCTAGTTTATTGGAGATAACAAATTGAAATAGTTCTCATATTCTAACATATAATACAAACTTCATATATTCATACAAAAAGTCAAAACACAATAAATATAATTCAAATCTCAATCTAGTTCAAAAGCAATTAAGCTGGTTTAAGAAGTTCTTGATGGAAAAACCTGAAAGCATTTTGGGAAGGACAATTCAGTAATTGCATCAAAGTTGTGACCGAATTATGATTTTCTTGAAAAAGCAATTTGGTTATTCCTGTGTAGCACCTTATCGTATATTTATTAGAGTAACATTCCTTTCATTTTTTTCCCTAATGATCATAGAGACTGGGCAGACTTCTGTCCTTTTGTTTTATCCTATCATCATAATTTCTGGTCAAAGGAGTAAGTCTGGTATTGACACTATTTATAGAAAGCTAACACAACCTTATTTCCTCCTAGATCTACAAGTTGCTACAGCATTCCCACTATCATAAAAGCAAAACCCCTAAGATCTGAATGTAGCTTTCCTGTGTTAAAATCATTTTGTTACTTGAAAGCTAAGTTTTTGCCTTATATTAATGATGTAAAAAAGGCAAAAGATGAGTTTTTACCTGAGTAAGAATTAAATCTCAACTACAAAATTGGTTAAAATGGGTTTGTCTGACTTTGGTTCTTTGTTTTGCTGTTCATTATCTGTTTCTTTCATGAGTTTCTCAGTAGTTTCATCTTTGGTTTTCCTTTGGAGGGCAGCATCTCTCTCTGATATCAAGTCCTGCATTATCACGTCAGTTCCTGTTGTCTCCTTAGGCATCCTCTGCCATGTTCCTGCTGCAGTTGGCCATAAACTGTTAGTCGCCAGAATGTCACCATTGCTCCTGGGCCTACGTTTTGCTTGCTTAGTTTTTTTGAGATATGACATTTTGTTTGCTATTACGACTGTCGACAGAAATAAGAAGGTGCAGATAAGCACAAGTACTGCTATTATAATGAAGCAAATCAGTATAAGAGACTTACTGTCTTCACATGTTTCTTTTGTCATTGTACCCTTGGGTTTGCTGGTATTCCTAGGTCCTTCTGTGGCCGAAACAGCACTTCTGGCAGGGGAAGATGTTGAATTTTGGGCCATTGTTGAAGATGAGAATTGCAGGGTAGTTGTCTGTGTTTCAAAAGTTGTTGTTTTGCTGCTGAAATTGATGCTCGGAGGAGAATTTGTATTGGCTTCTGTTAGGTTCTGGCTGCCGCTTAGGTTTTGACTCATAGGATTCCAGGTTTCATTTATAACCCTAGGATAATCGGTATGGTTTGCACTTGTTTGCCAACACAAAGAAAAGATTATCACGACAGGGAAGGCGAAGCGTGGTTTGCTATGTGTCTTTGTCTTCATCTTCCTATCTAGGCACCTGCAAAAGTACAAATCATGGTATTAGTTTGGCAAATGTTTGTTCTTAGAGGTTTGAATCAGACTTCTCGGGGACTAGTAGGCAGCAGCCTTTTTGATGAAGAAGATGTAACTTGACCTCATTTTTAGTGGATGTAGGAGGAAGAGTTGGAATTCTGAAAGAATAGGTTGTCTCGAACTTCTGACAGTTTGAGGTGTATAGCAAATGTATGAAGATTAAAAAAGAACATGGAGCAAAGAGAAAGGAAGATGTCTCCTACGACGTATTCAGTGTTGTAGAGGCAGGCTGCTTCTCTTTAAAGCTGGCCATATTACAACTTCGTCACTTCTGCTTTTGCACAGTGAAAGGAGAAACACATGTAAAGTTTATCAATTATTCCTCCTTACTTTACTGTATTCCCCTGAATGTGGGAACGGTAACCATGCTTGTGAAGACGGTCAGGTGAAAAACTTTCATCCAAAATGTTCCTGGAAGCGACAGCAGTAACTTATTTTAATTGTTTATGTTTCTTAGCACAGCTGTCTGGAGTATTTCATAAATGCCTAGGGAAATTTTTGTTCACTGATTTTTCTGCTTTATTGTTTAAAAGGCTATTTATCACAAATGTACTTCTTACAAATTTTTGTCACAAACGTGCTACAGATTGTGACATTTTCTTTAAAACGCTTGAGATAATTATGCAAATGGTACTAGCATTAGTATGTTCTGTTTCACAGTTGTGTAGTATTCAAATTTGTACCTATTGAGTTTGTCTGGAGGCAGGAAACTGTTCTTTGGTCGGTCTGATACTAGGGTAAGAACCACAAAATAAAGTGGTAAATCAGGCGAACAGCGAACCACCTCATTGCTGCCGCTTCATCCAGTTTGCATGGGTGAGACTTGTTCAGACCTTAAGGCTTGTTATCCCATCCAGCCTCTCTCACCTGTCTCTACTAACAAGATATATCTTAAGGTCAAAAGCTTTCCTTTGAATGTTACAGATTACATTCGGTTCAACTTATAATACTATAGAGAATGACCAAAAGTAACAGTGCTATTTTTATAAATACATTTGTTCTTGAAGCTATTACTTGAGAGGTAACAAAGCATGTCTGCATGTTTGTAAGATTAGGCAATTTTGAAATATTCTATGCAATGTTCACTTTTATCATAGTTAAAAGTTAGCATGCCTACCAAAGAACTTAATATATTCACTCCCAAAAATCAGAGGGGTGAACTGGCCTATCTTGCAAAATCCTTTGTGTTGCTGAAGTCCTCCAGGAAAATGAAAAGTGATATGCCTGGTATGTAACCAGGGAACAAACTACGGCCATCTCTCCTACATGACAAAGGAGCAGCAAAAGATACATGTATCGTTTACTTTGCAGTTCACCCATAACAAAAAAATCTACTCCGTTCTGACATGAATCCTTATTGTTAAGTTTGAACTAGAGACCATCTTAATCAGCTACAGCTCAGGTAGAGTTTTTATCTTTATATGATAACCGTTGCCTGGAGGATGTCCTGTAGCATACTTTAAGGGAAAAAAGCAAAACCAGCAAAGCTTCTTGTTGTTTTGTTAAAAAAAAAAAAAAAAATTCACATGAATTTGCTGCATGATGTGCAGAACTGGGATGTGTTTGCCAGTACAGATATACTCCAACATTTAACATTACTGTCTGAGATTTGCAACTCTCTGCCTACTCCCTCCAAGCGTACATTAAGTCCAGTGTTAGTTGTATCCTTCTAGACCAGATGTGCTTTTCTTAACATCAGTTTGTTTATTTTTAAAGGCTTCACTTAAAATCATGAGAGCAAAGGAACTGATCATTAAAAAGATGTGTTTTTCTTTTTAGTTTGACCCTTTGTGCCTGGGTAGTGATAGGGTCTTCTGTCAGTACGCAGTAAGGTCTGCAATGCATAGGAACAACAGAGCTAAGTAGCGACTGTCACCGTCAATTCTTTGGAGTCTGATTTTTGAATGACCTTCAGCATTCCTAAAAATAGTTGTATCTGGTTCCTTAGCTCAGTTGGAGAATAATAGTTTTACAGATTACTACTATTTTTGAGTTACTTGAACCTCTTTAAAAATACTTTTGCATATAATTTTCTACAAAATCTAAGAAACTTTAAAGTGGAACTTAAATTAGGAGAAGGAAAAAGTTTACTTACCTTGCCAAGATGTAGTCAAAAGAAATTTGGTGTTTCAGATATGTAGTCTTTTAACAGTAAAATTTCTTTGTGCATATATTTGCTCTTAGGATGCAAACGACCATTAAGGTGAAGCAAGTAGATTTAGACAATGCTGATGTTTTTTAAGCAAATCTGTAACTGAAGTCATAAGTCGTTTACTCTAAGTGGAGAACTAAAACCACAGTGATGACACACTTCCTTCTCGTAACAACTATACCATGACACGTTAGGGGGGGAAAACACCAACTTGCCCAAATTAGCTCTCAGAACAACAGGAAGTAACACGGGGGGGAAAAAAGTATCTTTGGCAGACAAATATTCTGTGTTTAAGAAATTTATCTCCTCGGCTGTCCTACGCTCCAGTGGTTTACCTCGCATGTTAGCAAGAGCAGTGTCCCAGTACACTACAACTACAGATGTGCTTACAGTATTTGTGGGCTCTTTCCGTAGCCTGTTGGTTTGCCTTGAAGGAGTTGAGTTAATGCTAGCTTGAAACAATGACAGGTATTTAAAAGTTCACCACCAACTGCTGACTTGGATTGTTAATAAATTCTTCCTAGCAGAATTTTGTCTGCTGTGCTAACTCTGGAGACTTGGTTGTGGCAGATCGCTGTCCAGTCCTCTAAAATTCAGAGAAACATTAATCGAGAACAAGAGGTTCTTAATATATTAATATTATCTGAATGGTTTTCTGGAAAGAGTTATTTTGTAGACAAGTCCTCTGTACCACTCAGAGGACAGACCATTCTTAAAAACACTCCAGGTGTTAGAGTATGCTGCAGTATATAGCAAATTAAATGAGTTTGAGACCCTTTGAAAAAGTTGATATGTGGATGCTTAATTAGTCTTAATTAAGACCTCTGAAATAAAAATATTTTTCCACATATAAAAATAGATATAATTTGAATCTCTAAGGAGGTTAAAAAGGTAGAAGAACTTACACTTTACTTTTAAAGAAACTCTGAGTTCTTTTCATGTAATCCAGATTTGATCCAGTTGATGCACTGTTGCTCTCCAGCATGGATTTTATTTTTCCTCTCTGTCTGGAGGTCCCGTGGCTGTGGTAGGTTGCGTGGCACTTCAAAATGACGTTGAGTTAAATCCCAAGTCAAGCTTCATCGTACTGGGCACTAAACTTGGAGTGCGAGCCATGGCAGAGTAGTAACAGATGCCTTCAGGCTGTAGCTGCCAGTCCAGTGTCATTGCTTCGGAGCGATGGTATTTTTAAAACTGCGTGAAAGATCAGTCTGATTCAGTGTAGTAGTAGTAGTAGTAGCAGTATGTGTAGTATGCCACTCAGATGTTTGTAACGTGGATCTAAAATGCAAACCCAACAACATCTCTTGTGTTTTCTTGCAGATTCAAGACTGGTCAGATCAACGGAGATTTGTTGATATACCATGTGCTACTAACTCTGAAGCCATACTATGCAAAGCCATATGAAATTGTAGTGGACCTCACGCACGCTGGCCCTAGTAATCGCTTTAAAACAGACTTTCTTTCTAAATGGTTTGTAGTTTTTCCAGGCTTTGCTTATGAAAATGTCTCAGCAGTTTTTATTTATAACTGTAACTCTTGGGTCAGAGAATACACCAAATACCATGAAAGGCTCTTGACAGGTTTGAAAGGAAGCAAAAGGCTTATTTTCATAGATTCTCCAGGGAAGCTGGCAGAGCACATTGAACACGACCAGCAGAAACTCCCAGCAGCTACCTTGGCTTTGGAGGAGGACTTGAAAGTATTTCACAATGCTCTCAAACTGGCTCATAAAGACACCAAAGTTTCTATTAAAGTAAGTCCTTTTAATGCTGTTCCTAGTGAATTGTTGCATTTTTATAAGGCTTTGAATATGATTTTACTGTCTGTTAATTCTCCTCTCCTGTCTTGAGCAGAAATCACAACTTATTAGTGCGCCTCTTTAGGAAGTATGAAATTTCCTACATTTATCTTTATAAAATTAGAAGAGTTAGACTTTTCTGTCTTTGTATTGTTAAGAATAGGTGCTGAACCATTTCTCTGTTCTCTTTCTAAGGTTGGGTCGACAGCTGTGCAGGTGACGTCAGCAGAACGAACAAGAGTCCTGGGACAAACAGTGTTTTTAAATGATATATACTATGCCTCTGAAATTGAGGAGATATGTCTTGTTGATGAGAACCAGTTTACCTTAACCATTGCCAACCAAGGCACACCACTCACTTTCATGCATCAGGAGTGTGAAGCCATCGTCAGGTCCATCATTCATATACGGACACGGTGGGAGCTGTCACAACCAGACTCCATCCCACAGCACACTAAAATTCGTCCTAAGGATGTCCCTGGAACACTACTGAACATTGCGCTGCTCAACCTGGGAAGCTCAGACCCCAGTTTGCGGTACAGATCTTTTAAATTAATATCAACTTTGGTCAAAAATGTAAATTCTTTCCAAGGTTTTCTTAGTGTTAGCAAATCGCTCTTGAACAAAACAATTTTTCTTCCACCACAGCTCAATGAAAATGTACTTCTTAATATAAAGAAAGATAGGGGTTTCTACAGGTGAAGAAAGGCATACATACTGTCAGAGTAACTGAAGATATATAAGAAGCTTAATTTCTCTTTTTAAGGAGAAACACTTAGGCTTTGCAGTATATGTTTATTAGGTACATTTGATTGTTGTGGTGTTGAAATCCTTGTTTAACACTGTGGGAGCTGTTCCTCTTGGAGCAGGCACTTGGGTCTTGTGAGAAAGGACTACCTCAGAACGGTTACTGGCTCGGCAGCAGCTCCGGCAGTCCTTCTCCCAGCAGCTCAGGTGCACTGGAACTGAAGGCCT